TTGGGGTTGCTGTAGGTGATCTGGAAGTCTGGTTTTGAGACTTATTTACATGTTTTCTCATTTCGACTGGGGCGAGGGGCTGTTAGCGCCTGCATGGATTAACTCCTCTGAGCTGGGAGAGGTGGGACAGGGGCCGGGAGCAGCGGTAGGGATGGTGACCCAAAAGCCCTTTCCTGTGGTCTGAGAGCAGCGGGAGGGATGTTGGCCGGGAAGCCCCTTCCTCTGGACAAGGAGCAGTGGGACAGAAGGTGGCCCAAAAGCCCTTTCCTCTGGTCTGGGAACAGCGGGAGGGATGGTGACCGGGAAGCCCCTTCCTCTGGACCAGGAGCAGTGGGATGGCGGCTCAGAAGCCCCTACCTCTGGGCTGGGAGCAGCGGGCTGAGTACCTTGCTCTGGTGGTCTGGTGTCCTGCGTCTTTGTAGTGTGGAACCAGGTGGCTGCCTATCTGCATCGGGGTGATTCGGCTTCTTCCATGCGACTCTTGACCTCGGTAGGGCATGCACAGACCTGCCTGTCCGCAGCGGGCTCTTATTTATCTCTTTATATGCTGATATACATTTGGATTGTTTCTATTTTGGGGGTATTATGAATAGTGCTGTTATGAATACTTATATATGAGAGAATATAATCTAAGGATTGACGGTACTTGGGTCAATTACTTGATGATAAAAGAGAAGGAAGTGTTAAGGATATATGCCAGATTCCTGACTTGAGTGACTATTATACAAAATCATAGGAGAGTAAACAGAGTGAAAAGAGAAGAGAGCAGCGTAAGTGAGGGTCAAGTAGCTATACAGAAAATGTATGCTGACTCCAGCCTTATATTGTTACAGGTAATATTTTTAAAAACAGGAGTTTGGGTGGTGAGGACAGGCTTAACTGGAGGCTCTTAAAGTAGAGGCATTGCTCCCTACCTACCATCCCCACAAGTTCCGAGGCATTCTCTTTTTTTAATTCCAGTACTGGGGATTGAACCCAGGGCTTTCACACTGAGCTGCATCTTCAGCCCTTTTTGATTTTTTTATTTTTCAGACAGGTTCTTGCTAAGGCACTTAGTTGCCCAGGCTGGACTCGAACTTGTGATCCTCCTACTTCAGTCTCCCAGAGTACTAGGATTACAGGGTGCACCACCACACCTGGCTCAGAAGCATTCTTATGTTCTATATATTCCCTTCCTCCCAGCAAATCACTTGTCCAAGTACTGCCTATAAACAACCCGGTGAAAAGTTAATGCCAAGATTGTTTTAGTGTTCACCAAACATATTTTTATGTAAGTAGTTAGTATTGAGGAGTGCCATTTTGAACATAGAAATGTAGCTATGAACTTTATTTATTTAAGAGTCTTTTATGTTAGCTCTTTTATTCAACATAGATTCATTGGTTGCCTATTTGAAGCTAGGTTCTTCAGTGAGCTTTGAAATGCTTATGATATTGTCTAGCTTCAGTTGGGCAGAAACTCATGAGAGAACCAGGGATTTAAAGGTATGAGAATTCACTTTTGTCTGTGGAAATTAGGGAAGGCTTTTAGGAGAAAATAGTATTTGTCTTGAGCCTTAAAATATAGGTAGGCTTTTAATAATGAGATAGGGAAAGGAAGGCATTCTATGATAATGTGGTATATAGAATGGCTCAGAGGTAGTGATCCCTGACTAGAGTTTAGATTTTTGGTTTAGGTCATAAGGAACCATCAGAACTTCTTCTTTTTTTTAACCTAGAGAGTAACTCAAGGAAATTTCTTTGCCATAGTATATTGAGAAATTAAGAACAGGGAGAGACTAGTAAAAGGTGATAGAAGGAACCAGAACTTAACAATCAATATCATTTGGATTTTATGTTAGCTTTCCATTGGTATAACAAATACCTAAGGTAATCAAATTATAAGATAAAAGGTTTATTTTGGTTCACCATTTTAAAGGTTTCAGTTTATGACCAGTTGGTCTCTTTGCTTTTGGGCTTGTAACAGCATTATATCATGGTGGGGGTCATGTGGTAGAGAAGCAAAAAGGAGAAAGAGGAGAAGAGACCAGGATCCCACATTTCATTTTGAGAGATCCCCAAAATGACCTAATTCCTCCCACTAGGTCCTACCACTTAGAGGTTCCATCATCTCCCAAAAGGGCCAAAGAGTACAGACCAGGCCTTTCACATATCAGCCTTTGGGACATAATCAAGATTTAAACTATAGCACATTTATAGGACAAAAAGAAGGTCAAATTGTAGTCTTAACACCCAGGTAAATGGAAAATCCTGTCCCACTAACTGAAATTAAGACAACATAAAGAGGATTCTGAGGGGGAGATGATGACTAGTTAAAAGTGCTTCTGAAAATAGGAGATTGGAGAGAAGCCCATACACACAAATGATCATTGAAGATGTGAGGTTAGCTGAATTAGCCAGGTTGACTATTCAGCAAGTAGTTTGAACAAAGGGAGCATACCTTTAGGGGGAGGGTAGGAGAAAGAGCCTATGAAGAAGAAAAACTGGCTCAGTCATATGTTCATTGGGATCATTCAACATCTGAGTGGGAAGCCTGTAAACCACTGCAGGTAGCAATTGGAGGAGTCTGGTAGTTGTGCAGCATCAGGTTGTTTTATAAGTCTCTTTTCCTTTCACTTCACAGATTGAAATCCATACTAGTAAAGAGACCTAAATTGAATAATACTCAAAAAACTCTTTGTCAGAAAGACAATATATGTCTCAGAATGTTATTGTTCACATTACCATTTCAAGTTTTAAAAAGTTAAATCCCATACCATACAAGGTCCATGGAGCCAGGGATTTAGCTCAGTGGTTCCACCACCTGCCTCTCAAGTGGACGGTCTCGAATTCGATCCCCGGTACAAAAAAAAAAAAGCATAAGTTAGAACACCACTAGGTTGCTGATTGGTCATGACCCTGACCTGGTTTCTAAGTGTTTCATAATGTAGCAAGAAACAGAAGAGAAGATGTGGTATAAGACCCAGTGTGTTCTGGGAAAAGATACTATATTGTATTATTTTTTGACACTTAGAATATGATGATCGTGATCCAGTCACCCTTATCCTAACAGTAAGCTGTGACCTCTGATTATTCTTCACAGAAGCATAGATTTTTTTTTGAGACAGGGTCTTGCTATGTAGTCCAGGCTGGCCTTGAGCTCACTATGTAGCCCAGGTTGGCCTTGAACTCATGGGTGATCCTTCTACCTCAGCCTCCTAGTGCTGGGATTACAGGCCTGCACCACTATGCCCAACAGAAGCATAGGTTCTTAACAGCAAGCATAATCAGTTTTTAAAAACATTCAATTTTAAGGCTTCCTTTTAGAGGTTTGGCATGAAAAAGGACAACATCATGGCCATAACATTGTGTATGTATTCTTGACTGGGGCACTATTCTTTGAAACATTTTAAGGCTAAGATAACCTTATAAATGCCAAATGACAGTTATTCTTTTTGGTTCATATAAATAAATCCTAAGTGAAGTACTAGAACTTAAGATTTCAGATGCAGTTTTCATGTTTTTCTGCACTTCCTTTTACAGATCACTTCCCTACAGGAACAGCTGAACCATTTTCTGCAGAAATGAAGAGAGCTTTCAGCCTGGCACATAAACTGGATTCACCATCCAGACTGAAGACTAGATAAAATTGTGCATGTTTTTGTCCCTTCAGTTGCCTCAATTGTATTTGTTTCTCTGAAACTTTTTCTATAGATAAAATGTTCAAAGCTCATACTCAAATAAAAATAGTACTTAAAAATTAGATTTAAAGTACCCCCCCCTCAACAATGGAACTTTGCTTCTGTCAATTTTAGAATTACATATATTGCTTTTGTGCTATGGTGCCATCAGGTGATTCAGCCATGCTTGCCAAAGGCAGATATTCTAGCCTAGAAGGCCATGTAACTGATTTGCATGTATGTTAGCTTTTCCAAACTCTTCTGATTGTTTTAAGTATTTTCTACAACATAGAAAAAAATCGGTTCATTTCTGTCATGAGCTAGGACCTGCCACAGTGAATTTAAGTGCCTACCTTGGAGCAGTTAATAATAGTTTATATCCTGTCTTTGTTCAGGTAATAGAGCTGCTTTCTTGCTCAGGGATGATTTCTTGCTACTGTTTGTCTTTGCTAAGTTGTCATGTATTTAGGACTGTGGCTGGTTGTTATTCATGAAGTAAGGGAACAGTTAGAAGAGAGCTGAAAATTTCCAAGCTGTTGTCCTTATTCTGAGCCTCTTCATCCTAATCCCCATCAGAAAAAGTTTAGGAAAAACCAGATACCTATAATTCCTATGCAGATTTCCGTAACAACCCTGGATTGTTTTTTTAGTTATATTGTAGTTTTCTAGTCTGCATTCCTTAAGCAATAAATAAATAAATTCTTTCTTTTAAGTGGATTGCTTCAACTTTTTTTTTTTTGCAGTGTTGAGGATTCAACCAAGGCCTTTTACATTACTTGGTAGGCAAGTGCTCTACCACTTAGCTAAGGGCCCACCCTCTAATTGCTATCAATTTATTAAACTGCCTCTACAATGAGCACACTCATATCTAAAAGGAAACAAGCAATAAACTATGTCTTGGTCCATTCAGACCGCTAGGTAATTAATAAGCAATAGAAGTTTATTGGTCACAGTTCTGGAGGCTGAGAAATCCAAGACAAGGTGCCAGCAGATGAAGTATCTGGTGACTCTATCTGGTTCATAGATGGTGCCTTTTTGCTGCACCCTCACATAGCAGAAGGGACAAACAGATACTCTCAGGCTTTTTATAAAGGCATTAATCCCATTCACGAGGGTAATGTTCATAACCTAGTCACCTCCCAAAAGCACCACCGATTAAGACCATCACATTGCAGATATTTCAACATGAATTTAGGGGAGACACATTTAGACTTTGATTAGGAAATGACAAGATACTATTACTACTGGAGCATTCTTCCAAAGAGTTTTTAGAATATCTCTATGAACTAAGCAAATCATCACAAATCATCGCATAACCATACAACACTGGGATTTGGAGAGAAGTATAGAGAAGTGATATAAATGCAGCTCCAGTATTTGGATTGAGTTATCATGTAGTTTAAAGAACATAAGGTTGGAATCCCAGCTATGCCTTCAACAAGTCCCTACATCTCTTAGAGCCTCTATTTCCTCATCTGTAAATCTAAGGTGATAATGCTAATCATCAAGAGGCACCTGAGGGTTTTCTGAAAGTAACCCAGCTTGCCCAAGTCTAGTTCCAATTGACAAATGTCAATGCTGCTCTAGAAAATGTATTCCCAAGTTCTTTGTACCACTTTTTTGGTTTGGTACTGGGTATTGAACATAGAGCTATAGCCGCCCCCCCGGCCCTTTATTTTGAGATAGGGTCGCACTAAGTCACTAAGTTGCCCAGGCTGGGACTGAACTCGCAATTATTTTGCCTCAGCCTCCCAGAGTGCTGGAATTACAGGTGTGTGGCACTGCACCAGGCTTCTGAACTACTTTTAGTGCTGAAGTCCAAGTCATAATTTTTCCATGTGTAAAAAAGGTCAATACATGTGGGCAGACCCTGGGAAGGCGAGAGGAAGACAGCAGGAATGCTGGGGGAAATGGAAGGGAAGAAGCAGGACTAAGAAAGATAGGCCTGTTCAAACAAAATGAAGCTAAGATTAGGATAGAAGTTAGAGAACAGCTTAAAAAACAAGATGACATATACAGTTGTTTTTCAGAAACCCAGAAATTAAAAGATAAGAACAAAGAGAATGAGGAAAGGAATTATCTGAGGTAGAAATGAAAAAGATGATAATTTGAAAAACAAAGGCCTTTCCAGATAAAGGAAGGCAGAGAACTGGGGCATAAACAGATAAAAAGTATCTTGCTTGAGAGACTGAGGACAGTGAGGGTAGCATTCAGGAGTGAGATAGGTAGAAGAACCCTCATGTAGCCTCTGACTGATAAGTATAGCTTGAGAGCAGGCAAAGCTCTGCTGAGGTGGAGGGGAGTAAAGCAAATAACAGGAAAGGACAAGGGCAAGCTAAAGTGTCTTCAATGCCCTTCCATCCCCTCTGCTGCCATTTCTAAATGTAGCCCGGGAAAACTGTCACACCATTTTCCTCATTATAAGGCTTTTACTGCTCCAACTTTCCACTCCACCCCAACATGTGCACATATGCACACACACACACACACACACACACACACACATGCACGCACACACACACACGCACACATACACTCTGACACCTCATGAAGTTTTCTTTTGCTATGGCTTGGTGATTCTGACTTTTGCATCTTATAGACCTGCACTCTCTGATACGGTAAACACTAGCCATGTGTAGCTATTGAGCACCTGATACATGGCTAGGCCAAATTGAGATATTCCATAAGTATAAAATACACACTAAATTTCTGTAGGAAAACTACTTGGTGTCGGGACTGTGATGATCCTGCACTATCCACATAGGCAAGATTCAACTGTAAGCTGACTCGAGTCTTGGAAGAACACACTCTGATCATCCCAGAACCTATGAAGATGGGCAGTTTTGTGAGGAGTGGCAACAAGAGTGTTTCTTTCACCTCCCTATCTGGAGGGAGGTTGCTATGAGGCAGTTTCTCATCTGCCTCCCGGCTGTGCGCCTACTGGGTACAGCTGTATGCCATAAAACTCATTAGCTGCAGTGTAGCATTGGTTACTTAACACCAAGGAGTCCCACCTTTCATGTTGTATGTCATCTGGCCCATTTAATTTGAGTGCCTTCCTGTGGGACAAGGAACTCAGGGACCTGACAGCCTTACTAATCTTGCTTTTGCTGTCTCTATAAGTAATAAACTATCTGGATCTATCTGGGTTTCTTGTTTTTTTTTTCATCAGCTGACACTTCCAAAGAAGACTGAGTTAAAAAAAAAAAGTAAACTATCTTATTATTAATTGTTTTTGCCATGAGTAGTGGCACAATCTAGTGATAATCCCAGCCACTTAAGAGGCTGACACGGGAAGATTGTGAGTTTGAGGCCATCCAGTGTAACTTAGTGGAGACCTTATCTCAAAATTAAAAAAAAAATAAAGGATTGTGATGTAGCTCAGTGATGGAGTGCTTGCCTAGTATGCACGAGGCCCTGGGTTCAAACCCTAGTACCACAAAAAATTGTTTTATATTGATTACATGTTGAAAGGATAATATTTTGAATACATTGGGATAAATAAAACATATTAAAATTAATTCACCTATTTAAAAATATGCTAACAAAATTACTTAGTGACTTACGTTTCTATTGGACAACTTTGCTGTGGATTGGTGAGGAAAGAGAAATTGGTGTTGGGGAAGAAGGACCTACAGGGTTTTATTTTTCTATAAAAAGGAATTTTTAAAAATCACTATCAATTCATAGGGACATTTGAACACTAAATATATATATATATATATATATATATATATATATATATATATATATATAGCTATAATCTCAGAATAAAAGATAGACCTTTACTGAATAAATGTAACTTTATGGAAACTACTGCAGTGTCCTGATTTTTCTTATACTGCTTCAGCTGGTGAAAAACTCCTTAAATTGATGACGAAACTTAGAAACCATTCCTATACAAAGCTCATCCCATGAGGCAATAACCAGCTAATTTTGGAGGGGAAGCTTGAGGTGTCAATAGTGGCAGATGGAACCAAAGGGGTTCTTTTATTATCCCATAGACAGTGGTCTCACATGGGGGTTTTATGTTTTGAAATGTTCTTGTGGCTTCTTGATACACCCTCTCCTCCCACCCCTAAATAAGGGGAAAATGAGAATATCAAAATCAGAGAATAACCAGAGGAACCAAAGTAAACAAGTACAAATTTATTCTTTTCAAAGCAGAATTCAAAGGGGTAAAGCACCACAGTGAGTGGCAAAGTTAACCAATTTGCTCTCAGCCCCATTGTTTTATACTGAACTTTTCTACAATTGCATGCCACCTCCCCCAAATTCCTCCTCCAATTCTCATCCTTGTGATCAGTTCTTGCAGCCAGCAAGCAGCATAGAAGGCCTCATTCTGGCCTCGATACTGCCCTGGGGACAACAAGAAGCTTCAGGTCCCCTCCCAAATATGGGAGCTGTGGGAGGATATGGATACTGGAAGCAGGGCACGGGCCTTGAGCCTTTCCCTCTTCCACAGTCATTTGTTTTAAAACAGTGAGAAGTCACTAAAGTATTCCTTTGTTCCAAGGGCCAGGTTTTCACAGGGGGGCCCAGAGATAGAGCTGCCTAGCTGAGAAGCTACGTCTCCATACTCCTAGGACAGGGCCTCCTGATTCTCTCTCAGGACTGTTTGTGCTAAGGTAGCCACTTTCTTTGTTATGTATCAACTCTGTCAAGGAAAACTGGATGGAATTACTGGCAAGAAATGGTCCCAGAGGCCATGAGTCTGCCATTGTGAATGTGAGTTCAAAGAATTCTCTAGCCTGAAGCTGGACATGAAGCCCAATCACTTTTAAACGTCTATCCCAGATGGCATGTGTATTCTTCAGAAATCCTTTTCTGATGGGAAAACAACTCCTATGATTGGCCTCTGCTTGGCCTCAGCATTTCTCATTACTGTGGCCTACTAGCTCAGTGTTTGGAATATCAGAAATGAACAAGTTTCTCTGTATGAAGTATTTTCTAACTTTGGCCCTAAAGGAAATAGACACTTGAGAGCCTTTATTCCAGCCTTTCCATTCTGAAGGGAAAGGCCCATGTTCCTCCTGGGTGGGACGCTTTCTAGGGAACCATTCCATAGCCTTGAGTCCTCCAGCCAATAAGCCTTCCCAAATGCCAATCAATGTGAATCCACTTTGCTTTAGATGGAAGCAGGGGTACCCTTGCAATGGCTTTTTGTCCTCTAACAAGTTCCGTCCTGAATGAATTTCATATCAGTCCTAACTGTTCCCTGATACCATTTGACAACGACTCTAGCAAACATTCACATCCATTATCACTGATGTTGATTACACAAATCAGAAGATTTTCTCTAAGCAATAAACCCAGCAGCTGCCTTTACCATCCTTCTAGTACAGGGCCATAAACTACACAGAACCATGCATAATATCTTTAGGAGACACAGTACATAACAGATCCCTAACACATAATATATTTTGGTAAATCTAACCCTGATTTGGATTCACAGTGCTCAAGGATTCATTTACCTCATGGGAGACAAACTGCCCACACATGCTGCAGTGACTGTCACTGGATTCTTGAGTGGTATACTCACCTCAGGCATTACAGGTAAACACAAGACCACAAAGTGTCAGTGACCCACTTAGTGAGAATTCGACTCTTGACCTGCTACTTCCGTCCACCTATAGCACAAATCCTACATAACAAGATCTACATGTGTTGTTGTTGTTGTTGTTGCCTTACCATGTCTGGCCCATTGCCACAGTTGCCACAGGCCCTCAGCAGTCCAAGAGCTCTTGTGGGCAGGGCATTCCTGGTAAAATACTGTTCCCTAACATCTGCCCCTAAGGGGCACATGTCTCGAAGTTCTTGAGTCCTCTGACTCATATTTTTTGTATTCCATTCCTGTGCACAATCTAGGCTCCTACAAAAATGCCTCATTGTGACTGATGACCAGGTTCTTTGTCTGATGCCTGCCTACCACTTGCTCACCATACATTCAGATACCCACTTTTCCTGCCTAGAGACCTTACAAACACTGAGGGAGATATTGTGATATGAGGTCTGACACCCTGGACCTGTGGCATACTGGTGGAAGAGCCAATCCTTGTTTTCTGGACCCAAGCTTACTGCCTACCTTCCCTGGAGCAGACCAATCTAGGTTCCCAGCAGTTCCACCCACTTCAACTGGCACTTCAACACAGCACTTCAACAATCTCATTTCCTCCTGATTTTGGTGGCAACTGCTACTTTTAAGGCCCTGAGCCAGACCTTAGAAACTTGTAGGGGCTAGAGGATGTATTCTGTGGTTTAGTCTAGAAAAGGCTTTTTTGTTTCTTCTTTTCTGCATAGAGTAGGTGGGACTTGGATCTGCTCTATTTTGCCACCTGAACCAGTTTCAGGGTACCCAGGAAAATTCACCCAATGCTCAGATCTCAAGGGAACATGATTTAGAATGAGTGAAGAGAACAGAGTGATTCTTCCAGTTAGATTTCTCTGTGGACACAGACTTTTGTTGCTTTGGTCTTGAGGGCAGCTTACCCCAAACCTCAATGGAGAAAGATCCTAGGGAAGCAACCAGGATGTATCTATCTATCTTTCCAACCAGAGGCTGAGGCTAACAAAGAGCAAGGTAGAACATTCATACTTCAAGAGGTATTATAATTTAATGTATGAGTGAGGCTGGGAGAGCACTGATGTACAGTAGATACGTATATATATAAACTCAGGCAAATGAAGTTGACTGCAGGGCTCTGGTGGGAAAACAAAGTTCTCCTTCGAAAAAAGGAACCTAAGCAGACTCTGACTCTGCTCAAAGTTCCCAAGCCCTCTCATCCAACCTATGCCCCACTATCTACTGTGCACAGTTTCTGGATAAAGGGGTCATGGTATATGTTGTCTAGGAAGTGTTAGTTCAGAGAGCTGGGTTCACCTTCCAGAGTTAGAAATAACAGTTTTCTGCATAGGAAGGCCTCACAGTTGTCTGGGTAGAAAGTGGCCAACTTTCTGATTCATGGTCAGTGGATCCTAGGAAGGTACCACTATTCAAATTGGCCAGTGACAACTGCCTTATCCTCACCTGGAGACACCCAGCCACCTCACCTGATTCCACTTAAGAGATAGAAGGGTCACAGCCTGGAAGGGTGGCAGGCTGTCATACTCCTCCAAGACAGAGAGTGGCTTCCCCTTTCACACTCAAAGAGAGAAAGACTCCCTTGCTGAGCAAGCTGTCACTTCTACCCCAGGTCTGTGAGGACAGATTCAGAAGAGCAAAGGAGGGCTTCAGCTAGATTTCCAGAGTATCTTTGTGCGTCTCATGGGATGCTGAGGCCTTCAGAAAAGAGGAGGGTCAGGGAAAAATACCTAAATCCACAAATATTTCTATAATATTTCCAAATGTAAGGTGGAGGCAGAAACTAGAATGAACGGTTTCCTCCTCAAGGAAGGTCTGCCATGGACTGTGATAGAAGGAACTGAAGACATTCAGAGGAAACAACATGTAGGTAGAATCCAGAGTTAGAACTATGCCTTGGAACTGAAGTAATTAGTACACACCCTGCCCATATTTCTTTAGGGACATTTTGGAAGAGGGTCTCAGGGATACCCTTTTGCCTACCTGAATGGGCTAGGAAGTAGGGATAATCCCTGTAGATTCGTAATACTCCCACCTTGGGGTCATTAGCCTTTTCCCTCTCCATAATTCAGTGAAGAAGGAAAAGGGGCCAGTGGGGACTGCTTAGCTCTGTAAGGCAGTGTCTCTGCCCCTTGTCTGAATAGCCACGTGCTATATGCTTGGACTGTAACCAAAGGGTAAAGTAAGGGACTGGTCTCAAACTTGAGGGTTAAAGGGCACATTTCTAGAGTCAGAGGAATCATTCCTACTTTTCCCCTGATCCCACTCCCTCACATGCCACCAGATCCTTGTTGCTACCTGGAGCCCAAATAACTCTGGTTAAGGAATGTGGGGCCAGTGGGGACTGGAAAGGTTAGGTGAAGGCTGAGGGAAGTCTTTGACCAGAATCAGGAGAGGACTATGGATTATGGAACAGGGATCTGGCTCCATCAAGAAGCCAGTAGGGTGTTGGCAGTCACATCAGAGCTTCGCACACCGGGGAATGCATGGCGGAGCTTCTCCATGATGTCCTCCAAGCACAAGCTGACATCCTGGCTCTTTGATGCCACATCATCTGAGTTGGAAAAGAGAGATTTGGGAAGGTAACTTGAGACTCCTTTGTATGAAGCCTCAAAGCCAGGGTAGGATGCTGCCAATTGAAGGGCAGACCCAGAGCCTTATGTCTTCCCATTTCAGTGACTACTATGTGTCAATGACTGTATAATAAACACTTGTAGAAGAAATGTATGAATTAATGAGTCAATAAGCCAGTTACCTTTGACCCCTCTAAGCATAAAGCTATGAGGAGAAACCAGTCCCAGCCATAGCAGAACCTTGGGTAGAAAATCTGGGGCAGGACAAAGCCATGGAGAAAAAGGCTAGGAGGGGCCAGGGAACTCACCTGCAGCCTCAGTGTCTGGAGTTGTCTGTCCCTTCTCCTGGGGGTGACTGCTTTCTGACTGCTGTGGAGAGGAAGCTAGGGATGAGCCTGCAGATCCACTGCCATCTGATTCCGTGGGTGGCTAGCAAGAGATAAGGCATAAGCAGCTTTGCCTTCCAAACCTTACTTTGGCAGACTCCTGAGTTTAGCAGGGACCTTAAAGATCTCATGCCCCTCCCTTTGACTTTGGAGTTTAAAATGCTTTTGGTAGCTGGGTGTGGTGGTGCATGCCTATAATCCAGCACTTGAGAAACTGCAGCAAGAAGATTGCCTTGAGTTTGAGGCCAGCCTGGGCTACATAGTAAGTTCAAGGCCAACCTTAACTGCATAGCAAGACCCTGTCTCAAAAAGAAAGAAAGAACGAAAGGAAGAAAGAAAGAAAGAAAGAAAGAAAGAAAATAATAAACTAAAAAAAATGCTATTGGTAGTGCCCCAAGTAGTGGCTTTCCTTTTAGGAAACTTCTTAGAATATTCAGTTATCAATTAACTTCTTCCTTCAGCAACATGCACCAATGGCTTCTAGTTATTATAAGGGCGGCCATGTACCTAAAGGTCTCTTGCTATCATCTCAGCTATAATTAAGCTATTTAGAACCCATTTTTCTCTGGAAATGTGGAGTTCACACCTGATCTTTGGTTCATGCTATAATAACATATGTTAGAAACCCCCAGGAATTCATTTACAGACTGTTCCTTGTGTAGGTGCAGAGGAACATAGAAAAAACACAGAACAAAACACGGATGACTTAACATTGTAAAATCATCACATGCTTATCTGTGGCTGACAATTGTAATACTTATCTGTGGCTGACAATTGTAAAATCATCACATGCTTATCTGTGTACCATGTACTTGAAAAAATGCACCCTACTGTAACCTTATGAAAGTGCTACTCACATTTACTAATGCTGACCTTGTCCCCTTCCCAGAAACAAAGGCTAAGACTCTAATTGGCCTAGATCACCAATCAGTGAAACAGTTATTTTTAGAAACCAGCTTATTCCTATAAGTATGAAGTACATCTCATACTCACTGGGGCCTCCCTAAGAGGCCCACTCCTTTATTCTTCACTGAAGTGACGATAAGGACTCAAAGAGGGTGAAGGGTCACTCAGAGACCCCCTGCTGGAGGTAACACTTGGAGGATCTGGGGAACAGGTGTGGGGGAAGGGGGTGCTATTGCCTGTTACATATAATGACAATATTAGGCAACATCTATGAGGAGTACACTATATTCCTAGTATCGTGCTAAGTTTTGTAAATGCATAATCTCATTATGATGTTGTTATTGTTATCATCCCTGTTTTATAGGTGAGGGAACCAGGGTTTAATGAAGTTAAGTAACTTTCTAACATCCCACAGTCACTATCTGGCAGAGTCATATTCAAATGCAGAGCTACACTACCTGCTAGAGATGAAAGGGGCAAAAAGTATCAAGAGAACTCTTTTTTGCAAAAATCTTTCTCTTGCCAAACATGTGTACACTTGGTTCTTTTGTGCAAATGTCATATTGGCAAAATCAACCTCTTAGATGATTTTTGAAGTTTGTTCTTTCACTACCATATTCTAATGGATTGTAAAGAAGTAAGCCCTCAGAAGTTCTCCCTTTGACCCAGCTGCTAAGTAGCTTGAGAGTGACACACAAAAACATCCTGGAAGCCAAGTGGAAGACAACTGGCCAAGGATGTGCCCGAACCAGCCTCTTCCTTCCCCTGACCTCCCCAACTGCCAGCCCGTTTCCCTTCAGGAAGTCACTTGATAGCCACAACCAAGGAACTCTTTCCTTCCTCCTCTTTGTTGCACACTCCCAACTCCCCACCTCCTCCTCCTGTGCTCAGGGCCACCTGGATTCACTGTATGCAGCCTCACCTGTAGCAGCAGCTCCCTCAAGCGCTGCAGCTGGGACTCTAGTTGTTTGTTGTGGTCTTCAAGGATCTGCATGCGCATCTCCAGGCGGCTCTTGTGCTGTCGGAGGATCCTGGCTTCAGCCAGAAGCTCCTCATTGTGGTGGTCCAGTGTGGCCTCAGTGGAGCCCTCAGCCAGGGTGGGTGCCTCAGCTGCCTCCTCATGCTGCCATTTCAGGCGCCTCAGCTCTGCCTGGAGAATTCTGCCAAGAACAAAGAAGCCAAAACCTATGGCTCTATCAGAGTACTGACTGTTCAGATCCCAAAAGTCCTCTCATACCCAGGTGTAAGCAATCGTGGGGCTTTCCCAGCCCACCCAGTCCCAGCCATGCTCTTGCTTGAATAGCCATATCCACTTCCTTTCCATCACATATATCATTTACTCTGCCTTCCAGGAAGGCAGAAACCTCAGAGCAGAGAGCTGACATTTCACATAAGAAGTGTTTCAAGGCTTTGATGGGCTGCTTCAGGGATTAATTCTGATCTTCAAAAAAGGCAGAAACATAGTCTGCAAATAAAAGAGGTATTAGAGCCACTGATGCATCTACTCCACTTTCAGATTTTTAGATTCCAGGAGAAGACATGACATAAACAAAAGATTACCCATCTTACCACTTTTCTCCACAGTCCTCTTATGTAGCCCACTTTGAATGCCCATGTTGGTCATGAAGGAAACAGATTCCAAAGAGATAGTCTATTTTGGGGGACATCGTTATTTTGGTTTTTGTTTTTCTTTTTTAGCAATGAAATAGAATCACTCTCTGCCCAACATTTCCTATGGCCTGTCCCTTGCTGCTCTAATTCAGTATTTCTCAAACTGTTTTTTGTGAGAAATCAGGTTTTTTTCTTCAATCCATTGTGGAACAATATGTAGTCCTAACATGCATGACTAGTCCACAGCTCACATGACCCATGTTCTGCCTGGTCTCTAGCCTATTCAATGAGATAACTTCACTAATTATGTGTTTGACTGTCATGGTAATGTCAAATTGCTAGAAAAGTTTCTACTTTCTATTTCTGAATTTATCATTCCTGGAATTTGACATTTTGCAGACTGACCCTTGTCTGTACTCCATTCTGAGGAGCACTCTTCTAAAGATGTGCCACTCCTTTTGTGGTCTATAGCATCCCCCGGAAGCTGGTTAGAAATGCAGAAACTAGGGCTGGGGATTTAGCTCAGTGGTGCTGCCACCTGCCTCACAAGTACAAGGTCCTGAGTTATATAACCAGTGCCAAAAAAAAAAAAAAAGAAAGAAAGAAAGAAAAGAAATGCAGAAACTTAGAGAAACTTAGTTCTCCAGAATGGGATTTGAGGGAGCTAACACCCCAATCTCTAAGGCTGTTAGCTCTTTCTTGGTGGCCATATTTTCAGTTGGTACCTAAAATGTGGGTTCCAGGCTCCTGACTCAAAATAGCAGAAACCTACAATCTCCTTGGCTGTTTACAAACTCCTGCACAAATCTTGATTGCTTTGTCCTGTTCTCTTTAGAGATCATACTTCCCATGTCTTAGTCTGTTTGGATTGCTATAAAAAAATATCACAGACTAGGTAGCTTATAAACAACAGAAATTCATTCCCCACAGTTCTGGAGTCTGGAAAGTTCAAGAACATGATTTGGGCAGATACAGTGAGGTCCTAGCTTCCTGGTTCATAAATGGTGCCCTGTAGCTTTGTCATCGCATGGTGGAAGGAAACAGCCTCCCTTGGGTTATTTTATAAGGTCATTAATCTTACTAGTCATCTACCAGATGGCTACACTTCTTCAGGGGTTAGGATTTAAACATGTGAATTTAGGGGGACACAAACATTCAGACCATAGCATCCTAATTCGTTGGACTCAGTTTCCAGTCATCCATTTGTTCATTATTCATTTGATAACTATTTACTGAGACATTACCCCATACAATGTCCAATTTAAACCTACCTAATGGTTGAGGAAGATTATAAAAAACTTTATTGTTACATCTATGGTAAGTTCTATGAAGGAGAAGCACAGAAGTTATCAGAATAATGAATAGGAAATGTCTTAGGAATCATTAAAGACTTCTAAAAAACTGCTTACTGGAGTAGAATTTGCTCAGCCAAAAGGGAAAAAACATTCTAAGTGAAGAAAACAGTAAGGCAAAGACCCTGAGGCAAGAGGTGAAGAAAACAGCACAAACTAATTTGGCCAGAAGGCAGAGAGTAAGATCAAAGGGAAAAGATACAGGTGAAATAAATAGGAGCCAGAACCCAAGCCATGGAGCCACATTAAGAATTTGTATCTTCTTTCTTGGGTGCAGAATATACAGCCCAAATTTTGGACCCAGTGGGAATTTTCCCCTTGATGTTTTGATTCTATAATTATGAATGTTTTATAATTCCAATTATATAAAATTAATAAATTTTCATCTAAACAGCAAAAAATGCAGAAATTTAGTCCCCACCAAGATCTATGAATCAGAACTTGTATTTTATCCAGCTCAAGTGACTTATGTACACTAATAATGTTTTAGATGTGCTACTCCAAGAGGTAAGGCTTACTCTCTTAAAGTGGCTTGGATCTTCTTCAGACCCCTACTGCCACCTCTATTTTATGAAGAGTAATACCATTCCTGTAATTGTCACATTCTCTCTTCCAGTACACAAATGCTCTTTGTAGTATCGTCATCTCTGAAATACTTTCACTAGGTGATAGTTATCTCTTTCTATATCTAGCACGGAAAATTCTTTGAGAGCAGGGCCATGTCATACTTTCTTCTGTATTCTCTGTGTTTGCATTCTCTCTGCCTTCATGTAGAAGGTAGTGGGGAAAATTGGGTGACATTTAAAAAATTCAAATAATTATTACAAGAGCTAGCATTTATTGAAGCCTTACTCTAAGCCAGGCACTGGGTAAACCATTATATGTCTGATCTCATTTGGTCTTCACAAGTGACCATAAGAAGCTGGTGTAATTATCATCATATCCATTTTACAGATTAGGAAATGGAGGACCACAAAAGGTCACACAGCTAAGACATGAAAGTGCCAGTACTTAAATTCAAGCTGTCTGCCTCTAGAACCCAAACAAATTTGTACCATGGCCACACCCACCGGTTCTCATCTTCTAAGTGAGCCAGTATCTTCTCCAGCTCTCCCTTGCTTTCTGTGGCCATGCTGCATGGAACCTGCTGTCCAAAGGCGGGTTCCCGGTCTGTGATGGGGCTGGAGTGCCGCAACAGGTACTGGTCCTCATCTCTGCATGGGGGTGGGGACAGGAAAGGAGGTGACCAGGGGTTGAATATAGCAACAGCTCAGGACATGAGTTCTCAGCTTCCAGCTCAGACCCCAGGAGATGCATGATGGAAGATTCACTTTTAAATCAGAGAGGGAAAAGCCACATGTTTAGCCTTGAGTGGGATGGAAATATTCAAAGGTGGAAACAGCTGTGGTGCAGGTATTGAGAATATTTTCAGGATTCTGGGGCTTCTGAGTTCTACTTGTAGCTACCTATGATATCATGAGAAAATCACTTCTTTTTCTTTGCTATTTCTCCCCTCTACCTCCCTTTGCTTCCTCACCTCCCAGAGGAATCTGAGTTTCAGTCAGGATCAGATGGAATCCATGTAGCTAGCTGTGCCTAGGCTGTCTGAGCAGGCCAGGGACCTCCCTAGAGTTTCAGGGTCCCTTCCCTGGGCTACAGGACTAGGGAATTCCTTTGACTATGCTTTGGTCAAGTCCCTGATGTCTTCCAGTTGGTGTGGCACTAGATGAGGTTTTGGTATCTTGAGCATAAGACAATAGCTTCTTTCTGCAGCTTCAGATGAGGGTATGTTCTTCTTCTCACATAGTTGGGCACAGAAAGATGGGATTGCACAACAGGAAGGGAGCTGGGCAGATGGCAGAGAGGTAGCATGTCATTCATTCCCCCAGTCAGTTGACAAAAGGAAAGATTGCTTCTCTTACTGTGTCCAGGAAGCAGCTTTTCTTCCTTAGAGAGTCAAGGGCCCTAACAACTGTACTTCCATTCCTTTGTGGAACCCTTCCCAAAGATTGGTAGAGGGATCCCCAAAACAGAGCTGTTTCTGGAAAATGAGCAGCTTTTGAAACTCACATGCTGTCATCTGGGGACAGGCTGTCATTAAAGAAGGAGCAATTCTGACTTTCCATCTCAGCAAGCCTAGGAAGAAAGAGCAGGAACAGGAAGGAAAACAGAATATGAGATCTGTTTTCATCTCAAACACCCTAATCCCATAAGAGGCTCATTGGATTTGAGGGATACCCCAACCACTTCTAAGTATTAGGATTTATTGGCTGCTCCACATCCCACTGTGAACATCCCCTGGCCCTAACTCAATTTTCCTTGTCCCAACTGAAAAACCCTTTCCCTTGGACTTTCTATACCTTCCCCCCAAAACCTTCTGGTACCTGCTGGCAAAATGCTCAATTCGAGAGTGTGTATCAGCATGTGGCAACATTGGGGAAGAAGCCGGTCTGGAAGAAAGCAAAGAGTCAGAATACCAAAGACTAGGCAAAATCAGTTCTACAGTCTGTTTCCTAACCACCCTACCTCACCCCATCCTACCACCCACATTATGGAGATGGGCAAGAGCTAAGTGGGTACAGAATATAGAGACTAGATTTGAATCTATTTCCCCAGGCACAATCTGGGTCAGGCCCAAGCTGAACTATTCTGTTACTGGTGGGATTTACCCTAAAATACCCTTAGCCCACTTGGGACTCAGCTCATTCACAGCACAGACACAGGCTAAGTGAGGCTGCCCACAGCCACTGCTCAACTACTGTACTCACGTCTCATTGTAGTCAGCCTCTAGCACTGATTGCACAGGCAGATAACCTCGCTGAGGGTGTTTGCTGAAATAATGCTTTGAGCGGAATTTGTTCTTTAAGGTTGTAGCAAAGTCCCTCATGTTCTCACTGGATGTAGTCTGGAGGGAGACAGGGCAGAGAGACTTACCCTAGTGGCTTCCAGATACTCTGAGAAGTTGTGGCTGCTCCCTTTGAGCAAAGAGTGTGACTAGTACTCTATTTTTATTTATGCTTGTCACACCCTGCTTCTAGAAAAAGGTCTAAAATTGGATACAGAATTTGAAGAGATGACAGCTTGGAAAGATGGACTGTAGAAAAACAGATTGAAAGATGAGGGGTAGGGTAAGGGAGAGAGTGGTAGGGGATGAGTAGAGCAGGGCATATGTTTGGGCTCTAGAAGAATCTATGTGGACAGAAAGAGATAAAGACATTTAGACTTTTAGGAAGCAGGGTCAGCTCAGGAAACTACACATGGAGTGGTGGGTCTCAAATAGAGCTTAGGAGCAATTCTGTGCCTTGAGTTCAGGGATACTGAGCAATCTAGACTCACATGGCTGTGAAAGGCACAGTTACTAATGAAAACCAAGTGAAGTTTGTGGGCCTAGGTAAAAACCTATCCCCCTCCCCCGAGGGACTGAGTACTTACTGTGAGCACATATTTTTGTATTAACTAGAAGGGGCAGAAAGAGCCCTACTCTCTCTTTCCGAAGACTTTTCTCTGAAGAGAAAAGTGAGTGTCCTTTAAAAGGTTGAGACTATCCTGGGCCAACTGTGACCCTAGTGAAGGAGAAGTTTCAATGGAAGAATAGAGAGGCCTGAATGCCCCATATGGCAGAATCACCAGGACTGTTTGTGAATGCTCCTCACAGGAGAACAGAACACAGTGAACCAACGCTGGGTGAAGCCCAGTGCCTGAGAGCTGCTTATCCCTCCCGAAAGGCCCAGAGGTTCCATACCTGGGTGTAATACTCCATGATGGGGTAGTGCAGCTTATTGCCCTTGCTGGCCCTGCCTGTTAAGAAGCAGGTCTGGCAGATATCCACGTTAAATTGTTTCAGACTCCGGTACCTTTGGGAGATGGGACATGGTGAGAAAGATAATCTAATATGCCACACTGACCACACCCATTTCCCTAACATGCAAATATATACAGATATAAGAAGGAGGGGTGGGGCATGGAGTCATATCATGCTCAATCTCCTATACATAGCAGTGGCTGAGTCCTCAACAGATGAATAGCCTTGTTCTAGAGACCATAAATCTCCATGAAATCACCAAGCCCAGAGTTCCAGGAAGTGTGAGAAACAGCATTGTCTCACTACTTTTTTTTTGGTACTGGGAATGAACTCAGGACCTTTCGCTTGTGGTGCTTGTGAGACAAGAGCAGTGCCACTGAGCTAAATCCCCGGCCTACTACCTTTTTTTTAAAAGGAGGTTTAGACTGGGCATGGTGGCACATACATGAAAACCCAGCTATTCAAGGCTGAAGCAGGAGGATGGCAAGTTCAAGGTCAGCCTATACAACTTAATGAGACCCTGCTTCAAAAAGGGCTTGGGATGTAGCTCATTGGTAGAGTGCTTCCATAGCATATCTAAGACCTTGAGTTCAATCTCCAGCATCACAATAAAGGGGGTGGGTTTGGTGGGGTAGTAGGGTTAAAGATCTCATTGTATCAATAACTTTCTAAATAAGTAAGACCCAATAGGGTTCATGCTCCCAGGAGAAGTTACATTTCCAATACAAAGGAGGTTTATTCTACTAGCTGTGGTAAAGTTGGCTAAAAGTTATTTCCAAAGGTTATTATAACAACAAGTATTATTACAGAATATAGAATAGCTTTTCAGATCTACTTCTAAAACCTGACCAATCTGCCCAGACCTAGTAGTATAGAAGAGTGAAATTTCTAGACTTAGAGGAGTCAGATATTACAATATTTAGTGCTAGATTTAGCACTACTTAGCTGTGTGAACTCGGGCAAGTCACATTCCACTTCTGGGCTTCATTTGCTCATCTTATACAAAGCAGGGTGTTTGCAGGGACAGTTGTATGGTGGTGCTCTTAAAAGTTATAAAATTGAACATTTTATAATGAAAGCCAAATTTATGATGAAAGCTAAAATCTACCTTTGTGGAGGAATGAGGGGAATGTAATCAGGGAGACTTCAAATGTATTGTAATAATGTTTTATTTCTTAAGCCTGGTTGAGGGTATATACTGCAGTATGCTGCAGCCAGTTCCTACCAGCTCACAAGAGCTGGCTATTAAACTTTTAAGGTTTTTCCAAGCCAATTGTTAAACACAACCATTATTTTCAAATTTAGTTATAAAAGCTTACAATTAAATAAATGATAAATAAATGTAATATTCAAATCTCATCACTTCCTACTTACTATTATCTATGTTCTTGAGGCTATTAACATCTACTGTACAAGTTGAGTATCCTTTATCTAAAATGCTTGAGGCCAGAAGTTTTTCAGATTTTGGAATATTTGCACAGACTTTGCAGGTTAGGCATCTCTAATTCAGAAATTCAAAATGCATTTTGGAGCATTTCAGATTTCAGATGTTTGGATTAGGGATAATCAACCTATATGAGCATGGTGGAAATACTATAAATGTGTGACTGACTGTGGATCTCTTCCTCACTTGACTCAGGAACCTCCTATACATAACCAGGTATCAGGCAGGGTGGAAGTAATATATCACAGAAGCAAATGCTACAAATCAGGTTTCCTTTTATCTTTCTAGGGAATTAATTGTGAAACATCTGCTGGCAAACCATTTGATAAACAGGTATTCTTATAGTATTCACTTTCCTTTTTTTGTTAGGTCTGTATACTTCATACTACAATGAAAACAAAATAAAATATTTCATCATTTCCAAGTCTTCAAAGAGTTAAACATTCTGCAATAGAAAGAATTACAACAGTGTATAATAATACATAATAGATTTGCTGTAAATATATTGTAATTATGTAATGCACTGTTTTGTAGTATCCGATTTGTATGACCCATGACATATTTCTGATGATTATCATCCAAGCAGGTATTGTTTTCCCTACCTGAACCCCTTGATAGGGCATTGCCTACAGATAGAGCACTTGGTCTGATGCTTTACTTGCTCAGCAATGGTGACCCGATGTAGAACAGCCAGCCACACCATAGACTGGGGTTCCAAGTTGACCCACTCCAGGAACTGGGAAGCTTCAATGACTGGCTTCCCAGTGCTCTAGGGAAATAAGAAGTCCAGTGGAAATGAATGAAGCTCAAAGTATCTCCTCTCTAGAGTGGTAGCTCTCAGAAAAGCAGGGAAACCAGCAGGGCCTGGATTGGTCTGTTCTCCAGAGGTGTCCACCTTCTGCCCTGTTGTAGTTGAGCTGGCACTTTCCCTAATAGGACTCTAATCCTAAGACCCAGTCAACCCTTTGTCCTGTTGTCCCATCCCTACAAACTCTCTTACATGTGAGTACTTCACATCAAAAGCTTGGTCTTTCTTCTGTTCCTCCCACCCTTCCTCCCCTCTCACTTCCCTCTGGAGTTTCATACTCACAAAACGGAAGCAACTACGGACACTAGGCTCCACATTGCTGCCCCCGAAGGCTGCCACTTCACCCAGCTGACGGGGCACCTGAATGGCTTCATGAAGCAGGACACTGAGATGGCGTTGGTCACACTGGCTGCCTGAGTTGGCCACTTGGCTGAAGAGGTCTGCTGGCCCCACCATCAAGAATGGCCAATCCCAATGCAGGAAAAAGTAGAAAAGGAAGAGAGGGAAAGAATACATGGACAGAGCACATGGACTTTGTGTGTGTGTGTGTATGAGACAAGATCTTGATATGCAGTTCATCCTGGCCTTGAACTCATTATGCTGCCCAGGTTGGCCTCAAACTCACGCCAATCCTCCTGCCTCAGCCTCCCACTTGCTGGGACTATGGAGGTGCACCACCATGCCCGGCTCGTATGGATTTTTGAAACTGGAATGCCTAGAGGTTCATTCCTGAGCTTTTAGAAGTCCAGGAGTTTTAAAAAGAGCATTCCCTGAGTTCAGAGAGAAAAAGTGAGAGAGACACAAGAAGAAAACTTCAGAAATGTAGGGAGGGAGAGAGGGAGTGAGGGAGAGAGGAAGAGAGGAAGAATTAAAAGCACTGCTAGACACAGATATGTATGACACCATTGGAAAAACAGATTCCTCAAGAAGCACGATGAGAGCTGTGGGCTCAGGGGCACCTGTGTCACCATCAGGGTCCATCCCTCTCCTGTTCATGTAGCTGATATAATTTGATACTTCAGTAATCTCTCAGTTGTCCATACAAATGGAAGGAAGCCTTGGTATGGACAATTCAAAAAGAGGAGCTAATTATCTAAAAATGGCCTCTAAGTGCTTGTGGAGTATACTGTGGTACTTACAGATTAATACGGACTTTTATTGGTCCTTCTAGGACCTCCTTCTTCCCAGGCCAACCTTAGAAAACCTCTTCCAGAGGTTACTGTCTATTTGCTTCACACTTTACCTAAGGCCCAGAAGATACACAGAAGCAAAAGCCAAAAGGCCTGAATTCAAGTTCTAGATCCATGGCTGACTAGCTGTAGAATCTCGAGTAAGTTATGAACCTCTCTGTGCTGCAGTTTCCTTAATTAAAAATTGAGGATAAATAATCACTGAACATCCCATCTCAAGGGAAAGTTAGGCAAAATAATATAGCCATAAACATGCTTAGAAATGTCCTTTCCCTGTAAAGTTTTCTCAGACCACTGGCATATGTCTTCTGTGATCTGATATAGCACATATCCTTTGCCATTTGGATTATTTTTGTTAGTGCCATTTATTTACTTTTGTTTCTTTGTTTTGCAGGACTGAGAATTGAACCCAAAGCCTTCATACTGAACTACATTTTTTTCCATGTTGAGACAGGGTCTCACTAAATCACTAAGTTGTCCAGGCTAGCCTCCAACTTGTGATCCTCTTGCCCCAGCCTTCCAGAGTGCTGGGGTTACAGGCATGCACCGCCACACCCAGTTTATTAGTACTTTTTAAAAAAATGATTTTTGTGCTTCTGTCTCCTCCTCTAGACTACACATTTTGAAGAAAGTATCAGATCTAATTTAACCTAGTATTCACGACATTTTGTAGAGAGGTCAACACACATTAGAACTCAGCAAAAGAAAAAGTTCAAAATGTTGAACACAAGATGGAATAGAGAGGGAAAAACGATATAAACCAGAAAGGTAAAATCTAAGAAGTACATATTGTCCATCTCCAAGAGAATATATTATTATACCTCATCTATGTAATGACACAAGGAGTCTCCAGGAAAATGTGTGACTTGACTTCAGCTTCAGATTGGGAGAGGGCTATGCCTGGCAGGACATGGGGACTAGAACTAGACACTCAAGGCGCTGGATACTCGAGGATGTCAGTGCAGATCACAAGTACTTATATCAGATTAGAAATCCAAAGGCATGGAAGAGGGAATAATAACAAGCCTCAGGCGCATATTCTTCACAGTAGCCTGGACCAGGATGCATCACAAAGTGGTCTGAATAGCCCTCTTCTGAGTAATGAGACCTAACTTCTGCTTGTCTTATACCCTTCTTTCTCCCTGCAGCACCTCTCCCTCCACCCAACACCACTCCAGACTTTGGAGTTGTACTCACACTGAAGTTTTTCTTTCACTTCTGTGCCACAGAGGCATGCAATGCCGGTCTTAAAGGACAATGCCCGCATCTTTCCGCTGCGACCACTAGGTTTAAAAGAACAGACTGAGAACATGAATATATATATATAAAGGATTAACAATAACACCTTGGCAGCCATTTTCCTCACCAAGTTAACCCCAGCAGAGTTCTGGCCAACTATGCCCACGGTGAGAGCAACCCTTTCCTACTATGCCCATTGGAGATGTGCCATTAAATTGATCCCAGAGGCTTCCAGGACTGAAAGACCTTACCTGTCAAAAACATTGAGAAGCCAGTTGAGGGTCATGTCTACACATAGTGGCACGTTGACCAGGATGCCTCTTTCCTCCTCTAGCCGTTCGTATAAGGCAGTCAGGCAATGAATGACCTCTACCACGTCCATCACATGCTCACTGGCCTGCAGATCATGCTCATTGAAGATCTCTAGGGCTGTAGTTAAAGTTACTAGATCCACTGGAAAGGAATGGAAAGAGACAAAAAAATATAGCCCAAAGTAGAACCTCAGGGATTAGAGGAGATAAAGCCACCAGCAGCCCAAAATTTACAAGTAGGAAGCAAGCATCTCAATTGTTTGCAAGTATGAAACAAGCTTGTTCTTTACCAAGACACTCATTCCAAGCAGGGGAAGGCAGCAAAAAACTTCCCTTAATTAACCCAACATATTTCCATACTCAACACTGTTTGACAATAGTTTTGAGAAGATGGTGAGATGAGAATAAACTCACCTCCTTTTTGTATTGATTCCTGAGATCATATGCCATTTTAAGTTTCTCTGTCTTTACACGGGTTTTAACTGTAAATAGATTTCTCCATGAATCTTGTTGTGAGAACCTGGATACTGACTGTGAATCCCCAGGTATAGTTGGGTAAATATGACATACACCAGGAAGTTTGTTTTTCAATTCAGAGGATTGAACCTAGGAGTGCTCTACCACTGAGCTACATCCCCAGACCATTGTATTTTTTATTCTGAAATGGGATCTTGTTAAGTTGCCCAGGCTGGCCTGGAACTTGCCATCCTTTTGCCTTAGCCTGCTGAACAGCTGGGATTACAGGACTGTGGCACTGTGCCAGGCAGTAGGACATTTTAATTACTATCAAAGCTGAACTGGCCTAACCAGACACACCTGGCTCAGGAAGTCTGAATAAATAGTAACCCTGAGAGAGGCCATAAGGCACAATATATCTGCAGCTATCCTAAGCCCCAACCACTGACATTTGCTTCAATAGTTCTGTTGCTGCATCAAACCATGGGCTGGGATACTTTCTGTTACAAAGCAGTTGCTTTATTATCCACATTGGGGCAGGTGAGAAGGGTCAAGTAGTTGGATGACTGTAGGGTTAATTTGGAAACAAGTCTGGGGCTTGAAATCACTGGAAGGACTCTGCAAAGGGAAAGTCTCCAGAATGTTCCAGCCTTTGGAGAGATCCCACCAAACCATTCAACAACCCTGGCCAAAATGGGATGAAAGTGAGAAACTGAAAATTGATGAAGAACAGAAGAATGGGGATGAAAGCCTTAGGGAAGTGTGACAGGAGACATACAGCGCAGGGCCTTCTGGACTCTTCGGAGCTTCATGGCAGTGCGATAAGCTGAGAACTTAATGTTGTTCAGATCAGCTGCAAAGAATAGAAAGAGACATATTTAGATTAGGGAAATGTAATTTTTTAAAAAATTTATTTTATTGGGACATTTTAAGTATACAATATAATGACATTTATCATTGGAAATTTGCACCTTTTGATAATCTAGGGAAATGTAAATTAAAACCACAATAAGAGAAGAATTTAAACCCATCAGACTGGAAAAATATAGAGGTCTGACAATAGCAAGTGCCAACAAAGATGCATATGAATGAGAACTGCTAGTAGAGGTATGAACTGATACAATCACTTTGGAAAACAACTTGGTATTACCTAGTAAATTAGAATACTCATGTGTCCTACCACTTAGCCAGCTCTCTGTCTTACAGTAATGATTTCCAAACATTTTTGGACCCAAACTCATAGTAAGAAATTCTTTTTATATCACAACCCAGAATATATAAACACATGTGCATGTATAAATAACGAACATTTCAAAAAGCAATTCCTTACTAGATTTTAGAATATGGTTTTTTTTTTTTTTTGGTATCGGGGATCCAACTCGGGTCCTTGGGCTTGCGCAGCAGGCGGCGAAACAACTGAGCTAAATCCCCGGCCCCTTTACTGGATTTTAAAATACAAAACATAAAATTAATATAAAATCTGACTCCTGCTAAATATCTGTTGCATATTAGTATTTTCTACTCTGTTTCAGTTTTTTAAAATGCTTGTCAAACACACTGAAATGATGTTATCTGCAGACTGGAAAACATGCTCTGGAGAAAGCCTTGGACGAATGCACCAGAAAAAATGTACAAGAAATCCTTAATAGCACTGCACTTTTTATCTTCAAACTAGAAACTCATATGTCCATCAACAGTAGAACAGATAAGGAGGGGGGAAGAGAGGTATAAAGGCAGATAATGGTGGGATGAGTATGATCAATTATATTAATGCATATATAAATTATATGCATTGAAACCCCCCAAAATGTGAAACTAGCAGGGAGGATGGAGCAAGGAGGGTAAAGAGGAGGAATGATTGAAGTATGTTGCGTGCGTGTACTAACCTGCCAAAATGAAACCCATTAAACTGTATAACAAATGTGCACTAATAAAAATGTGGAAAAAAACAGTGGAACAGATAAAGTGCTATATACAATGGAATATCTACAGCAGTGAGAAAACAAATGAATTACAGTCACATGCATCAGCATGGATAAAATTTGCAACATGATGAGTTTCTCTCAGTGGGCAAAGATAAGGCACAAAAGTGCCACAGTCACTGCAGCCTGGAAAAAGCTTCACATCTACAAGTATAATTCCCTAATATGATGTAAAATAGCCCATGAGTAATATAGAGTCCAGTTGAGGAAAGTGAAGACAGAAAGGAAGGAAGATTTTTGGAGAAAGGGCAAGGCAGGCACTTCTATGTCATCTGCTTATTAACTAAGTTTCCCTTCTATTCTTTGTTAAAAATCATTTTGTTGAGGTATGACTGACATACAAAAAGCTGTACTGATTTAATATATACAACCCAATGAGTTTGGAAATAAGCATATACTGTAAAACCACCACCATGATCTATGTCATAAACCTATCTATCACTTCTAAATCTCCTCCTGCCGCCTTATTTACAATCCGGATCATTTGTGTATATGGTAAGAACGTTTAACATAAGATCTACCCTCTTAGCGAACTTTTAAGTATAAAAATAGTGCTGTTAAGCATAGACCCTATGCCATACCATAGATAAATAGGACTTATTCATTTTGCTTAATTAAAACTTTGTGGCCTTTGACCAACATCTGTCCATTATCTCCTTCCTGTAGCCCCTGATAACCACCATTCCATTTTATGATCTACATGAATTTGGCTGTTTTAGATTCCTTATATAAGTGAGATCATACAGTGTTTTTCTTTTGATGCCTAGCTTATTTTACTTGGCATAATGTCCTTTAGGTTCATACATATTAAAACAAACAGCAGTATTACCTGCCTTTTAAAGCTAAATACTATTCAACTGTATAGATATAATATATTTTCTTCATTCATCTGTTGATGGAAAATACAGGACAAAGGCCGCTATATACATCCCTACTCTATACTCCCCACATTCTTTTTTATTAGTGTATGTTTTATTAGTACATGTTTGCAGTACACAATGATTACATTCACTGTAGGAAATTGGTACATGTACATAACACATTTCAATTCTATTTTTCCCCCTTTTCTCTACCCCTCTTTTGTTTTTCTAGCATCAGATTCGTTTATTTATCTTGTAAGACCTTATAAAATTAATTATCATATATAGAGATTAAACAAGACTAACAGGCCAAAGAAAATATAGAAGATATAAATATGTAAGATAATTGTACTAAGTCAATTTTAGATACCTTGTCTGCATTGGATTACAATACCTCTCTCTGTCTCACTCTCCTTATTATCTGTCTTTTGTTTTGTATGTTATATATATTGAGTTTTTCATATAAGAGAAACCATGCGATATTTAAGCTTGTGTGTCTGAGTTGCTTCACTTAACATTATGGTCTCAAGGTGCATGCATCTTGCTACAAATGACTCAAATTTATCCTTCTTTTGGCAGAGTAGTACTACATTGTGTATAAATACCACATTTTCTTTATCCATGCATCTGTTGATAAACCTATAGGCTGTTTCCAAGATTTTTAGCTATTATGAATTGTGCTGCTATAAACAGAGGTATGCATGTATCACTGTAATACGATGTTTTTAACTCTTTTGGGAAGACACTTAGAAGGGGAATGGCTGGGTCAAATGGAATTTCTATTTTTTGTTTTTTTGAGAAATCTCTACACTGATTTCTGCAGTTGTATCAGTTTCACAGTCCCACCAACGATGCAGAAGGGAACCCCACATTCTTACCTAGGGTTTGGTATAACTCAGTCATCTTGGGATGGTCCCAGCATGTGGTCTGCGCCTGGTGGCTACAAACAAAAGCATCACTAGCACCAGTACCCACACTCTGCCACACTTCCCCCACCTCACATGTGCACACTACCCAGTGATAGGTTGGGTGCAAAAAGTTGCAGGGTGCAAGGGTGAACTCTGAAGATCCCAAAGCACAAGGTTCACCTTTATTCAGGAAGAATCTTGAGCTCTTGGTATGAGTAGGAGGAAAAACTGAACTGGATAGTGGAATCCCAGTGAACAAGGAGTGACAGGGATAAGTACCAAAAGACAGGTGAGGGAGGGGGCAGGTAGGGATTGACCTGCTTCTGATTCTGACGATCACTCACTTGATGTAGTAGGGAACTTTATTGGGCGAAATTGCTCTTTCCCAGGGAACCTGGACAGAGGCTGGTAAAGGAGAAGAGAAAGAGAAAGTAAGCTGGCCTGCCATTCCCATTTTATTCTTCCTCAAGGGTGGTCAAACAAAAAAGGACATGTTTGATCTCACTGCAGCTCTTAACATAAACCCTGAGGGTGTGGCAAACTCCTTCCTTCCTTTCTCTCTCTTTCTCTTTTCTTCCTTCCTTCCTCCGTGGTACTTGAGATTAAACCCAGGACCTCTGCACTGAAGTATATCTCTAACATTTTTTTTAGTTTTAATTCTGAGTCAGGGCCTCACTAAGTCAGGCCGGGCTCAAATTTACAATCCTCCTGCCTCAGTCTCTGAAAGTGCTGGGATTATCGGCATTTACTATCATAGCCGGCAAGCAAGCATTTCTAATGAACACACTTCTCTCCCTGATGATAAGGTGAGAAAAGTAGAAGAGACTGTCACTGATGCCCTAACATACTAGAGATGTGGCTAGGGCTTGAACAGGAATACTTGGCCTTGGCTACCCTGACATTTCCCTCTTTTGGGTGCAGGCAGCTGGATTTTTCCTGTGGCTACAAAGTAGACTCTACTTTCCTCATAGAGGTGCAAACCCCTTCCCCTCAAAAGCCAAGCTTCTCAGGCCTGTGGGACAGAGGGTAATGGTACTGCCCATTTCCCCTTCTTTCTCTCATGAGAAATTCTGAAAACTCATGCTTCTCTCATCCTCGTGTCTTTATCTTCTTGTTCTTCCAGGAGAGGCTCAGGTTACTTGGTTGATCTGCTCACTTCAGTTTTCCTGAGTACAAGAACCCTCCGTAGGAACAGCTTCATGTCACTGACTATAATACCAATGATTCTAACCATCGTTAACAATTATTGAGATCCTAGTATATGCCAGATTCTATGCTTGTGCTTTGTGTGAATGTCTAAGTTTCCTTTCTGTATATTCTCACCATATCTACTACTACAACCCTGGTCTGGGCCACCATCATCCCTCACCTGGATTAGCGCAATGTGCTCACCAACAGGTCTCCCAGCTCCCACTCTTGGGCCCCCGCAAAAATCTATTCTTAACCTGATGTTGAAACATAAATCAGATCATGTCATTGCTCACCTCAAACCCTGCCAGAGGTCCTCTATTCCATTTGGAATAAAGTCCAAAGAACTTTGATCTACAAGGCCCTCCATGGTCTGTCCTCCCTGCACTTTCTCTCTGCTCTCCTCCACATGAGCCTCTTTGCTTTTCTCAGCACACCCTGATTTAAGGACCTGTAATCATTGCCTGGTATGCTCTTCCCTAAGCTATTCACGTGGTTCATTATTTTGCCTCTTTTGGGCCTCTGTCCAATTGTCACCCTCTCAGGAGGTATTTGAAATGCCTCCTCCCTTAAGTCTTATCCTCCCTATCCATGCCTTCTTGGCTTATTTTTTTCCATAGCACTTTCCACCCACTCTGTGTGTGTGTGTAGTTGTTTATAATCTGGCTTCTTCCACTAGAGTGTAAGCTGGCCAACTCTAAGGATTTCTGTTGTGTTCACTGATGCAACCCCAGTGCCTAGAAAAGTAACTGCCCAACAATAAATATTGTTGAATAAATAGTCATTTAATTTCCAAAACCTGATTTATAAGCTAGGTAATATTTTCCCTTCTTTGTACAGATGGGAAAATTGAGATTCAAAAAGAATAAGCTATTTTTTCAAGTTTACACAGCTATTACGCTGAAGTACACTGTCTCAGACCAGGTCTCTCTAATTGGAGAGCCTATTCTTTCAACTACTAAATGTTTTTGTAATCTGTACTGCTTCTTGGATGACAAGGTATACTGGACTCTCATCAGCCCCCTAGGGGACAACAGTAGATTCTTTTGGAAGGTGGCTGAGGTTCTGTTAAGTGAAGTTCAATTTGGCTCACGTACAGGAGAGGAAGTGCTGTGACCCAGGCCCAAAGTCCCGGTGAGCATCCTGGAGCTGCTTAAGTCTCTCACCCACTGACACCTATGGAAAGAATAGGAAGGAGGACAATGGATTCATTCTATTTCGTGTGGGAACACTCAGGTGCCTCTAAGAATCTTTATGAGCTCCTTCATAGGCTGGCTTTTCTTTAGTTTCAGCCCTTTTCACCGTCACCCAATTCCTATCCTTCTCCCAACACTCCCATAAGTCAGAGAAGAGCCTCCTTAATTCTAGCACAGTGACTCTTCTCCTCTGTCTACCTGCGTGCCCAAATCTAGACAGGTTGTTCTCCTTTTCTTCAGTTTAATCATACCTGGCAACTTAGATGCTGAGAAGCCTGTTCCCTAACCCCACATTCTTTAGCAGTCTTTTCCCATGTAGGTTTTATTTTGAGAAAGTTTTCCCTAAGTCTACTTTATATTGAGGTGACTCCTCATGGCTCACTTCAGGCTACTCTTCTACCTGTAGCTGCTTCCACCGGATGTTGATTTGCTCCAGGGCTCGGGAATTCTCCATTGATAAGTGCACATCAGAAATGGCAAGTTGATGGGCCAGATCATTCACCAACTTCACTCCGTCTTTCATGGGAGAGAATTCTTCTTTGAATAGCTGGAGAACCAGGACCCAAGTGCCACAGCAGACAGAGAGTGGGAAAGAGGACCCATTAATCATTTACTCACCTCTTCCCTCTTCATTCACAGGTTTTGTTTCAACAACATAACTTAGGAGTTTGCCTATTAGGACAACCAAACTAAGGTGTGAGTGGCCACAGGCCTTATCTGCTTCCTTCCCTCAATTTACAAACCCAGGGAAAGAGAAGACTATAGTACAGAGGAGACTACAGCCATGCCAGCCCCAGATCTAGAACATACACTAAAAGAGGCTTAAGTTAGTGTCCACACCAATGGAGTCTCAGCAGGAGGAACTCTGTCAGGGTCCAGAAGAGCATCAAGTCTCAGGGGTGACTGTAGCCAGGGGAGGAGCCATGCATACCTTAATAGCCTGGATATGGTCTGGTAGTGAATCAATAAAGAGATCTCCAATGGGCTCCCAAGTGGCTCGGACTCCGTCAGCTTGGGTCAGAGTAGTGCTCAATTCCTCCATTGCCCCTTGGATCTCCAATAACTGCTCTAGAGTACGCTCAATGTGGCGGTGCTGGTCCACACAGCGGGCTGTCAGCTTCTCCCACAGTTCACTAGCCACTGTTGCCTGCTTCCACACAAAGCGGCTAAGATTCTGGACCCGCTGTCTGGGGGAGGCATCTGCAAGTGTAGGCAGGAAACCAGGTCACGCTAACCTTAACCAGACAGGAGCAGCTCTGGGAAAGGCAGAGACAGACATCCGTGTGTGTGTGTGTGTGTGTGTGCACGTGCGTGTGTGTGTGTACCGATGCATGTGTGTACATGTTCTTGTATATATTCATATAGAAATATATACTTTTCCATAGTTGAGCTCCTTTTGTACATTCAGTTATTTTAGTTAAACTATTTTGAGATTTTATAGATTCACATGCAGTTGTAAGAAACAACACAGATTTCATATCCCCTTACCCAAATAGTGATATCTTGTAAAAGAATAGTCCAATATCAAAACAAAGATTTTGATATTCATACAATCCACTAATTTTGTTCAGAGCTCCCTAGTTTTATTTGTATTTATTGTGTGTGTGCACATACATGTGTATTGTCTATACAGTTTTATCACATGTTCGTTTGTGTATCCATCATCATAGTCAAGAGACCAATTTGGTTTTTTCCACTTATAACATCATGAAGATTTCCTCATAATTTTTAAAAATGGTCAAGATAGTGAGTAAAATATTTCAAGACATGTAATGAGGTGAATCATCCACAGTGCTATTCACATCATCCTGGAATGTGATTTTGTATTAGTGTCTGCTTCCCATTTGCACCCAAACAAGGGAGGCTTTTTTTGATGTCTCAGGCCAGGAGAGGATGACATAAAGCCAGAAAAGCTGGGTTCTTAATTTATACATTTTCACTTTCTCCCTCAGAACCTTCTCTTGGAAGAAGATTCAGAGCCTCAAAGCCCCAGGCTAATTGGAATTGTCTTTCTCTCCTGAGCTTATCCTATCTGAGGCCCATTGGACAGCAAATTAAAGTACTAGCCCTCCCATCGAGAAGCTAGAAATAAACTGAGAGAGGAAATGGAATTGACAAAGGACTCAATTAATTAAGGCTCCTCTCCAGGCTATTCATAGCTTATCTCAGAGTGTTGAGGATTCTTTCTGGGGAAGTGGGCTTGCTGGGCCACCACTTATATCTAATCATCACCATGGATCCTATCCTGCTGCTTGATTTGAATCTAGATGAAGAGTGGTTCTCCCTGTCAAGAGAAAGGGCTAGAAGCCACTATGGTCGTATCAAAACATTACCATAAATTTTCCTCTAAAAGGTCATCACTTAACATTTTAGAGTTTCTTAGTTGTTGGTTGATTATAACATTGCCACATGTCCCTCTATGTTGGAGTAAAGCAGCATTTTTTTTTTAACATACTGCAACTTTTATTCACTGAGTTGGTTCAGTTCATGTTTTTTATTTCTTTTTCATGCCTCATTAAAAGGCCATATGTACAGTACAGGCCTCATGCTAGTGACTGCTGCTTCAGACTCTGTTCTCTTTGTTTTTATTTGCAATATGAATCTTGCTCCTTCTCAATTCTGGACTCATATGAAAAAACTACTTTCTCAGATAATAGCTGAGAAAATGAATTTGGGGAGGGCAGAAAAGTGTTTGCTTAATGGTGTATAGCTCAAAAAGAAGGGGGGAAGAGCAGAAGATCACCCACTTTTGCTCTCAGAATGAGGTTCCTCTAGTTCCTCAAATGGATGCTGAGACAGGAAGGCTTGAGCTGACTCCAGCACAGAGTAGACATAGGGGCCCCGGGACTTGACTTCTTCCATAAAGGCCTGTAAAATTGAGTAATATGATCAACAGGAAAAGAAAGTCTTTCAACCACTTCAAATTCCACTCTGCAACTCACAACCTCTCTTTATAGTGCAACTTAGTCCCTTGGCATTACTAGATATCACCAGGTTACCCACATGAAGAGGTGTGGTCCTCTCCACAGGTAGGAGAATAACTCTAACACTGGAAGATCTACTTAGTATGAAATGAGTGACTCTGCCACAGGACAGAGAGAAATGTGGCGATCTTGGTTTTTCCAGAAGACTCAGAAAATCCCCTGTAAGGGGCTTAGAAAACCCAAAAGCACGATGAACAGGATTTATATTAAAATTTTGGTGAAATATACACAGAATGTATAAATCAAAAGTGTATGACTCAGCAAATTAATTTCCATACTATGAGTCCATCTGTGTAACCAGTACTGAGATCAATAATCAGAACTCTACCAGCATCCCAGAAGCCCCCCTGGTGGCTCCTTCCAGTCACTATCTCATCCTTTCCCTTAAAAGGTGACGACAAAGGCATATTGGCACAAGCCTGTAATCCCTGCACTTTGGGAGCCCAAGGCAGAAGAATTACAAGTTTGAGCCTAGCCTTAGCTCCTTAGCAAAACTCTGTCTCAAAATTTAAAAAAAGGCTGGGGATATATTTCAGTGTGAAGGCCCTGAGTTCAATCCCCAGTACTGAAAAAAGAGAAAAATGGCCAGGTGGGGGCGGGGAGGGGGATGTGACCATAGTTCTGATTTGCAAAAGCACCAGTGAGCTTTGTCTATTTTTGGAATTTATATAAATGGAAGCATATAGTATATACTCTTTTTATATCTGACTTTTTTCACTTAACATACTGTCTGCCATAGGATACTGTTATAGTTTGTTTTCCTGTTGTATTATATTCCATTCTGTATTCGTTTTCAGGAAATATTTATTGCTATTTTCTGAATAAAGAGGTAATATATATCATGGAAATATTTAAAATTTCAGAAAACTATAAAGAATAAAATTAAAGAGAATTCCAATTATCCAGTATTGACATTTTGATATAGTTCCATCCTATGTCATTCATACAGTATATATATATGCACATATCTATATATATTTTTATACAAATGAGATTCATCTGTATATAGTTTTATATCCTGTGTGTTTTCCCTTAACATTATACTATGTTCATTTCCCCATGTCCTCATTAAAGATTAAGGCAGGATCTTAAATATGAAGAAAAGATTTGATTTTGCAGCATGCTAACCACAGACCAGTAGGACTGTATATAGTCTCATATTGCTTTAGGTTTGTACACAGAGCTGGGTGTCTGTCTGTCAGGGTACTGCACAAGGACTCTTTCCCCACTGAGAGACTATATACCATGGTCTCCATAATTCTAACCTACCGCATGTGTTTCCTTCTCCTGTTGCACCAGGGCCACATCCCCTTGTAGGGGCAGCTGAGCTGACAATTCTTCATCCTTTTGGCTAAGCCAGTCAATAATCTCTTGGAGAGGAAGCTGAAGCTTTCCACTGTGGTCTGAGAAGGCCTCTAGGCGAGCACTGCACATAATGGGTAAGACCAATGATATTAAATCTTCAGTGGCAAAACATAACTTTTTCCAAACAAACACTTATGTGAAACGTTAACATAGCAAATGGATTGAGGGGAACTGCTCTAGTTGAAGTGGAAGGGGGCCTGGAACCATCCCTCTTACTCATCCAAAGGAGCTCTCAAGCCTCTCCACATAGAGCACAGTACTAAAACCAATGGGTTGGACCACGGGTGTGGGTAGGGTATCCCAAACTCAAAAGGCTTAAAATGTCACTTCATGGATCTCAGTTCCTTCAGCTGCATGCCCATCATCAGGCTGGGAAGAGAAGGAAACTGAGAAAGGGATGACAGCTGTGTGGCTCCCCTCTTCCCTTGGTAGAATCCAAACCATGTCAAACTGCTCATCTATAGAGGCTGCTCTCAGCCTTCCCCTTGAGCAGGAAAGGGTGCCCTAAGTGGAAAGGGCAAGGTGAATGGTTGAGCATGAGCATGCACATGTGTATGCATACAGATATAAGCAGCTCAAGGGACACAGAAGCACTGGCTAGAGATTTGAGATATGGAAGAAAAAAATTTTTATCATATAATCATTTCTGTCTGCCTCCCTTCACCCCCCAAATTAAATATAAGTTGAGGTCTAAGTGGTAGGAAGTTGGAGGCCAGTTAAGGCTGTGTGCAAACATCAAGCCCATTCTCCTTAGCTGGCAGTAACAATTACCTTTACTTATTGCTTTCCTACATGTGGGTAAAGCCCTTTACCCAAATTACTGCTTTAACAAATTCTCAGAACAGTTTTATGGAGTAGGCCTAATTATTGCCCAGAAAGTTTACATAGTTTGCTCAAGGTCACACAGTTAAGTCACTTGTAGAGCTATGGTTTCCATAACTCCAGAGCCTGCATTCTTTCCACTTATACACACTGCCTTACCTCCACCAGAGTCCACTACAAGCTAGGAATTTGGGCTTTTATGATAGGGGATGGAGTGGGAAAATTGCAGGCACACACAGAGCAGTAGGAGAATAGGGGAAAGAAAACAATACATCAATTGCCTTCAGGCCCTTACTGAGTTGCCCTTAGCTGTGCTGATAATGCATGGATGTTCCCGAATAGAGGGTATTAAAAGGTGGAACAGAGAATAGTTGAGACCCATCAAGATAATGGGCAACTGTGAGAGGAAGAGGAGTAGAAATGATCATTTCTTTCATTTACACATCAGCATGTTTAAGTTTAGAAAGCATTTTCATATCTTAGTTGAATCTTAATGACATCAGTGTGGGGTAGTTAAGACAAGTATTATTCCTCCACTCATTTTTTTGTTTGTTTGAGACAGGGTCTCGCTATGGAGTTCATGCTGGTGTTGAACTTACTATGTGGCCCAGGCTGGCCTCGAACTCATAGCAATCCTCCTGCCTCAGCCTCCCAAGTGCTGGCATTACAGGCATGCACCACCATGCCCGGATTCATTTTTTTCTTAATGAAAAGTAGAGGCTAAAATTCTGAGAACTCAGACAATTTATCAAAGATGATGCAACTACTTAAAACTGAGGCTCAAATCTAAATCTCCTGACCTCTAGCTCTAGGTTCTTTCCACGGTGCCAGAGAAGGAAAGGGAGAAGTGGACAGTGAGGCAGAGGAAAGGGGACACACAGAAGGACAAGCTGCAGCGGCAAAAGGAGCCCAATGCTGTCCCGGCCAATTCCTTCAGGTACCTGTTTCTAGGGACCAGGCCTTACCGGAGGTTGTGAGACTTCTTTTTTATTTCATTCCAACACAGATTCATGGCTGATGGTTCCAGGGGGCCAACAGCACCAATAGACCCGTTCAGCAGCTTTGGATTTAGGCAGGGGACCCCAGCACCATCCCAAGGAAGTGCAGGGGCAGTTATAGCAGCTCTAACCTGGACAGAAACACAGACATCCTGTGATTCCTGGGGTGTGCTATGCCCTGGTCTCTGCCCAGCCATGGGTGGAACTAAAGTAAACAAAGGGAAAAAGAGTTTTATCAGGGTCCAGAAATATAACTAATGTGTGTGGGTATAGTCAGGGAGGGAGATATGAAAGACTCCAAGTTCTTCTCTTGGTAGTGGTCAGTCACATAGAAATGCTGACCACTATTATCATTAGTTTTATTATTGTAAATTCTGCCAGGACCACCGCCCACATGGGATACTGGAAATGTATTTACATTAGGTAAGAAGCTGGTTGGAATTGTCCAAATGTTGACAGCCATAGGATTTGAACTGAGCTATAGGTTTCAAGGTCCCACAGTTCATCTAACCTTCTAGAAAATAAATTTGAGGGGCTTCCCCATAAATATTCAGAGAGGGAGCAGACCAGCCCAAGAGAACTATCAGTAGTAGGTAACCTACTTCCCAAATGACCCTATGCCTTAATATCGCCTCTCCTTCTTTCCCACTCACACTTCCCACATCACAGTCAGGAAGCCTGAAAATCATCCTAATGAGCAATGGTCAGGAAAATGGGCATGGGCTGAGAAAGAGTTAAAGCAGCATTCTGGATCCTGACTGCCAAAGGACTCTGACTGGAAGCCAAGAGGATGAGCCATGGAGCCTGCCAAGTCTAGCCTTGGGCCCTCAGGCTCATAGTCATTCACTTCCTCTCTTGGGCACTGGTAGGACCCTGTCAGGTCATTGTGGGGTCATGGAAATGGTGGTTATACCAAATAACCCATAAGAAGGAAGCTACCTACAGTACAGTACCAGGTCTGCTCACTCAGGGAATAGGAGAGGGGTATAGGAAAGGGGAATTGGAGGAGAAAATTTCAGCCTGGGCTGCTTTACCTGAGCCTAGGGAGACCTACATGCCCACCTTCCCATTTACCTGCTTGCCTTCCTGTGGAAAGGTTCTGGGCTTGCTGGTGGCTGAGACTCCTATAGTCCTCTTCCCCCCTAAATCATCCTTCCTCCCCACATAAAGACTCTCCAGGCAATTTAGGAAACCAATCATCCCATTAAAATCGCAGCTTATATCTACACCATGAAAAAGAAGTAAGGGAGTCGCTGAACTCTGGGGACCAAGCTCAGAACTCGGCCACCCTGTGGCCCATCAGAGGATCCTACCTGTGCTACCTGGGGAGTTCATGGCAGGATCAAGCAGCTCCATGATTATCCCTCTGCAGGAATCTGGACCCAGTGTCTGGGGAGCCACAGGCAGGCAAAGTCCCGATGAGCTCTAAGCAGCCCTGCTCAGGGAGGCAGACAGAGCTGAACCAGGCCAAGAGTCGAGGGTTGCCACCCTGTTTGTTTACTGACTCCCCAGGAATCTGGAGGGGGCGGCTATGTCAGGGCCTGGCCAGTGAATCCGAGCTTTGTTCCTGGGGAATTCTGGCTTGCTCCCAACTGGGCCCTCCACACCGGGCCAGGATGGCCCTCTCAGGCTGGCAAGCACGGCAGGAGTGGGACTGGCATTCCATGGTGCTGAGTAGGGGCATGTAGAGGGTAGCATTTGTTGATTTATTTTCTCTTTCCATGCAAGACACAAAAGCTCACTTTGCTTCCAGGCTCACCCCTCCCCTAAAGTGGATGAAAGAATCAGACCACATTGGTGACAAACCTCTGGCAAACAACTTTCCCAAAGCCTGGCAAGATGAGCTTGGAAAATAAGCAATTAAGTAAGCCTCCTCAGTGGCAGTGAGAAATGTGTGTGGCACAGCTGGGGACAGAGCCCTGAGATGGCCACACTGGGAAACTGGGATGGCAGAATCCGTCTGAATTTGATTATCCTTGAGTGAGTACAGGGACCAGAATACTCATTGGATTCCACTGGGAAAGCAAGGGGAGGGGGTGCTCTGCCCTGCCTTTGAGAGGCAGATAAGATTGGAGGGAGAGCCATAACCTCAAACCTCATACTGTACCCTGATGATGGAGCGAAATGGTTGGTCTCTGGGCATCTCCTTACAACTCTGTAGGGAAATGAGAGGGGACAATGAAACGTAGCAGGTCTATTCCGGGGAGCCAGTTTTAGAAAGTCTCCTGTGTTTGCCTGTGTTACTCTGGGCAGTGGCTCTTTCCCATAAGCCACTGAACAAGGGGAAGAGCCTCTCCTGGAAGTGGCCCGATGCTCTTTTCCATCTAGCAGACTTGTTTGGGAAAAGGTTAACATTTCTGAGCTTGGCCCCCACCTCTCGGCACTTAGGGAAAATACTTCATTTTTACCAAAAATGGTTCTGTTTTCACCCTTATTTATCTCCCACAGAGTCTTCTGGGCTTTCCACAGTCCTACATTGTTTCCATGCTGATGCCCACCTACAGGAATAGTTGGAACAGTTGCCTGCCCCTTTCCAGGGGTTTGAAGTTGAGCCAACCAGGGTGGCTGGAGGATGGAAGGGGATGACGGACCAAGAGTAAGGAATGGTTCTAGCTGTCAGCTTCGCTTGGGCTGGGATAATTGGGCTCAAGCCAGCCTCACAGAATCCTCTGGAATGGAATGCCCTGGAGTTAGAATGGCCCCTTGTGACTCAGCTATGACAAGCTGTCCTGGCTCTAACCTGGGGAGATGCACCCATGATGAGCTGGGCTCCACCCATCTTAGCCTTTCATCCACACCCCCCAGCTTTCTTAGTTTCCTAACTTCCATTTGGCTCTCAAATTATTCTCCAGTGCTGTGTTCTTCCTTTCCCATTTGCCTATATACTCTCAAGACCCACCTAGAAGAGCCAGGCACACAGTAGGCAAATCACAAAAAGTAATTATTTCCTTTCCCTTTCCCAATCAATTGCCTTCTACTTCTGGCTTTTGTGGCCAAGATATTTGCTTCTCACAGCCCATTCCTTGTAGGGCTAGCTACACATCCCTTGAACCTTTGAGATAAAGGCCTTATGGAAGAAAGAGAAAGTAAACTACTAAAAAAGAGACAGGTTGGACTGTACCATTTGTAATCACAAAATGAAGCCTCAAGCTCCCTCTGACTAGTGGTGAAGCTTGGAGGGTGTACACAATGAGTATAGCAAGCCTTTGGGAAGGGCCCTGGCTTCTCTATCTCTTTAGCATGTAAAAGCCCCATTCCAGGCAAGGCGTAGGTTACTGGGGAATTCTAAGTTGCCCTGGATTTGAGAATATGTTAGAGGCAGCAATTTTCCTCTGGCTAGATGCAGGAAAACAGCTCAGGAGGACCTGACCCTCATGCCTCTCTGGACTTTGATTTTCGTTCATTATCCTTGCCAAAATGGGTTTCCCAGCATCCATATTCTCCATCTCCACTATCTTTCTCCTTTCCTGTAGATTCAGCTATAGCCTGCTCCCCTAGCATAAACTTAGCACTGCAGCGTACATATGAGATTCTAGGAGACATAGCACTTGCTCACACTTCCATGGCCTCTGGACTCCAAAGCTGTGTAGGGAAAATCAGAGTATGCTTATGTGTCTTCCTTCTCCAGCCAACTTTCTTTGGACATCTCTCATTATCAGAAAAGGCACCTCCCCTCTCTAGATCATTGTCTCTCATACATCCTCTAACCACTTCCTAATATACACAGCATCACCATGTTCCTAGGGGAGAAGAGAATAGAAAGCCAAGTCTGAAGCCAAGGAAATTCTAAATGGGGCTGAGCTAGCAGCTGCAAGGGAGACTAGGGACTTGAGAGAAAAAGCCAATAGCAAAGGGGAAATACCTACAGAATACTGTACCTACAGAATACTCTTGAGGTATACCACAGAGAAGCCAAGGCAAAAGAATGTCCTGATTTGTCTTAGGCTGTGCCCTGAAGAATCATGCTCTTCTAGGACCTCCCCAGATTTGCATCCCTTGGAAAGTTAACATGGAATTAGTTTCCATCAGCTACAGTGGAAACTCTTTGGCTTGTCCAACCCAATACCTTCCATCGCCCTATGTCTCCCATAAAAGGCCTCATGAGTGCTAAGGTCCTGAAGGAAGCCTCATGCTATACAAGAGGTTTCATGTACACAGGTAGTACCCCTGGGCCTTAGGAAGCATGGATACCCTAAGTACAACACAGATCCTATGTTCAGTCATTTTCCATAGACCTCAATTTTGCTATCAAACTCTTACCTGAGGCTGGGGGCAGGTGCATCGGAGGCTGCTGCTGTGATGGAACCCGTCAGCAGCCCACCATTCACGACATCGTGGGAGGGTATAAGGGCATCCCTGCATGACCATAAGTTGCATAAGAACGGAAGATCATGGAGGGATGAGGATGGTCACCAGACAAGCTCTTGATCATTTAGTACCTGGAAAAGTAACAAGGAGAGATTTAGAATCAAGACCTACAAAAGGCCTACAAATCCAGCACCAACTCACTCACAGATGCCTTGAACAGTTACGCAAACCAGTATTAAAAGCTTACTGACCTACCCAATAGTTCTTCCCAGGCTACTATGCACCATAACAAACTTTAATTATTGATCAAGGAAGTATTTATTGTTTACCTATTATGATTTGTGCTAAAGACACAAAGATAAATTACTATCGGGGATGGGTAGAGAAGGTAGTCAGGTATCCTAATAAAAATAGAATGCTTTTGTGGCAAATGGTATAATTGAGGATGGATCAGAAGTCTAGGGGAACGCAGAGTGAAGAAAGCTAACTCTGAGAATGTGCACATCTTCACAGACTGCATTTGAGATGAGTCTTGAAAGGATGAGTAGACATTTACCTATGCAGGGAAGGGGCAAAGCAGAAAGGTGCTCTTGGCAGGCCAATCCACCTGGGCAAAAGCTGATGTCACAAGAAGGCAAAATATGTTCAGAGAACAGTGAGTTCAGCAGGGCTGGAGTTTAGGAGACAGCTAGATAAAAATGACATGGGGCCTGCCCCTAAGGAGGTCATATACAGAGAGAAAAAACATGGAAAATAAAGACCATAAAGTGTTATCTGAATTCATAGTAGGAATATTTACAGGATGGAGTAAAGAGACAGATAAGGGAAAGGTGAGTTCTGTCTGGTCATGTCACAAAAATTTTCCCTAGAGGAAATGTTCTTGAGGTGAGTCATGAAAGAGAAATGGGATTTCCATTAGGCAGAAAAGATAAAACAAAAAAGGATATTTCAAACATCACAAATACAAAATGTATTGTGTATTCAGTGTGATCAATAAACAAGGTAGGTGCCTTTCAGGGCATAGCAGGAGATAAGCCTGGAAAATGAGGTTGTGATCAGATTGGGTCATACCTTGAATGACAACCAGATGATCTAGCCTTTATCTTATAAACAACTAGGAGGCACTGAAGATTTTAGGCAGGGGAGTGACATGACCAGATTTTCATTTCAGAAAGGGTATGCTCTTCTGCCTGCCTGTGCAGTGATCCTCCTGGGGGAAGATGGCATCAAGAAGCTGGTAGGATAAGCAGCTGCAGTGAGGATGGAGCAGATATTGCAGCCTTGAATGTTGGAGAGGTACAATCTATACGGCCCTGTGATCAATTGGATGTGAAAGGTGAGGAAAGTAAAAAGAGTCAACGTTTCTAATTTGGTAGTTAGATAGATAATGGTGCCAACAACAAGGGAAGGAAGACAAGAGAAGGAGCAAATTTGGTGTGGTAAGGGGTGAAGGTAGTGTTACATAATAAGCTATGCGAGAGACATATTCAGCTTTAGACGTCAGGCACTAAGCTTAGAAAAGGAGACCTATAGGGAGAAGATGAGAGGGAGAGGAGAGGAAAAGGAAATAAAGAGGATCAAGATGCAATATGTATATGTACCAGTATCACACAGTGAATATATTTATGATGTATCACAAACATGTACTTACAAAATTTTTTAAAGAAAAAAGAAAAAGAAAGATACTGAGCAAAATTTAGATGTACAAGTTAATTGAAGGTATAGTGGATGTATGCAAATATGATTAGGATGGGTGGCGAAGATGATGTTTGTAAATGATAAAGCTGATCCCTTTTCATGCCTGGCAAAAATATATAAATCTGGATCCAAAGGGCAGGAACTGAGCATCTTTAATTTCTGATGCTAATAATTAAATAGCCATCATTTTAAGACTCTATCCCAGTGCTTTCCAACATTTTAGGTGTAAGGGCTCCTTCTTAAGATTAAAACAAAATCTCACTTCACCCACTCACACCCACAATAGTAACTGTGCTTTTAGAACTTACAGAGTGAGAAAAACACATACATTTAAAGATCTGTGGACGTTCCTTGTATCAAATACCCTTCCTCCTTAGGGGTCTATGGCCTATGGTGTCCAAAGATTGGGGAATATTATAGTTACAAGGGCTCAAGAGTTTGTGGTCTGAAAGACACTTTGTTATGGTCAACGTCTCTAGATGTTATGTAGCTTCACAGATCTTTATTCCCAAAATGATTCCCCTAAGAACTGTTGAAAAGATGGTTCCTCTGTGATCAGACACCAACATAAAATAATTAGTTACTCAGATAAAGAGTGAAGTATTGCTATGAATGTGCTATAGATATGTTATAGGCATAAGGGCCTCAAGATTGTTTTTGGACTTGTTTTTATATTAATATTTTCTATTTTTTGTTGATTACATAGTAATGCAAGTTCTTAAAATTTTTTGAAACTTTTGTGGTTCTAGGGATCAAACCCAGGGTGTTGTGCATGCTAGGCCAGTACTATACCACTGAGTCACACCCTCAGCCCTGAAAAGCTTACCATTTAGAAAGTCCTCATTCATTCTTTTATGGCGCTAGAGCCCAGACCCAAGACTTGGATATGCTATGCAAACATTCTACCAACGAGAGTCCTTACTATGTTCTTTATAGAAAAACTGGAAAATACGAAACTCATAAAGATGAAAACAAAAATAATCTGTAATGTTACCTACCAGCCAGAGATAACCATTACTAACAGGCGTAAAGACATAATAAAAACTATTAAACTATTGTCTATGAAAAATATATATGTACACTTTAAAAATAAAAGTCTTCAGGTGCTATCTTTTTATATCCTGCTTTCTTCATTTGGCATGTATTATTTTAGGATGTCATTAACTATTCCTCCAAAACGTGATTTCTATGTGCTGTATAAGTGGTAGAGCACTGTGCTTGAGGCCATGGGCTCTGGCATCAGACAGACCTAGAGGCAAGTCTACATTACCAATTAAAGTGTGGTCTGGAATAAATTAGCCTCTCTGGGTCTCAGTGCCCTCATCTGCACAATGGGAATAACAATGATACTGTCCTCACAGAATTATTCTAATGCTTAGAATTAATACATATTGTATTTAAATACCTCAGCAGTGTCTGGCAGAAGTACATTGCTCAATAAGTGTTAGGTATAATCTTTGTTGTATAGCATTCCATGGAATGGATATACCAAATTTATTTTAAGAATTAGATATATGCATATACTTCTTCTGTCTTATAAGTCAAACTGCAATGAACAACCTTGTGCATATTTGTGATTCTTTCTTAGGAAAATTTCCTACAAGGGGGAATTCATGGATTAAAGGTTGTAGAACCTATTTCAGGCTTGTGACACATATTTCTAAAATGTCATAGAAAAGTTTTATATCACTTTATATTACCATTAGTCATGTATGAGTGCGCGAATTTCTCATTATACTTGCTAATGGTATGTATTCTTATTTTATTTGCTAACTTTGTGACTGAAAATGGCATCTTGAGTATTACTTTGCATTTCCATAATTACTAGAGAGGTCTCATTTTTAGTGGCCATTTATATTTCTTCTTTTGTGAACTGCCTGTTTTTATTCCTTTTGTGATTTATTTCTTTGTAAATTAATTTTCTTCCTTCTTTTTGCTCTACTGATCTGATGCCAGGATGATGCTTCACAAAAGAAAAATAAGATAAAGGGCCGGGGATGTAACTCAGTGGTTCTGCCGCCTCCCTTGCGAGCGCAAGGTCCTGAGTTCAATCCCTGGTACCAAAAAAAAAAAAAAAAAAGAAAAGAAAAGAAAAATAAGATAAAGCCAGGGGTCAGAGAATTCATATCTTCTAGTCCAACACAGGCAGAAAAGGAATAAGCTCCTTCGGGGCTTAGTGTGACTATCCTCTATTTGTAGACTTTGCTCCTTTGCTCCTGACTGTGATCTCAAGTGATTTCACCTCTGTATGCCTTGGTTTACTACTCTGTCAAATGTTAATATTTAAAAGGCATGGTGATGTATGCCTGTAATCTCAGCACTTGGGAGGCTGAGACAGGAGGATTGCTGTCAGTTCAGGGCCAGCCTGGGCTACATAGTGAGTTCAAAGCCAGATCAAACTACATAGCAAGACCCTGTCTCAAAAAAACCAAAAAAGGATTCCAAGCACCAAAACACTATTATTCCCTCTATTTGTACAGCATGTTTTTATAGTTTACTAGGCTTTTGTGATCCTCAGTGCTACCTGGTAAGATTGGCCAGCCAAAATTACAATCATATTTTATAAACAAAAATGCTGAGACATAAGTGAACCTAGGCCTCCTGATGCCTGGGCTAGTGCTTCTTTGCTACACAAAGATTCCTCTGCTTCTTTATTTATTTCCTTTCTGCCCCAAATTACCACTTGAATATCCTGATTCTTTCACTAGCCCTCCCTTTAATTTGCAGAGGCTAGGAGGATTTGGAGATGAATCAGACTTGGCCCTTAACTTGTCAAGTGTAGGAAATAATACATATACACAAGTAAGTATAATTTAAGAGAGAAATGATTTATACTGTATGTGAGACTCAGAAATCATGCTAGAGGTCACAGAGGAGGAAATGTTCACTTCTATTTGGAAAGGTTCAGATAAGTGTATGAAAGGGATGCTTTTGAGCTAAGAGAGGAGATTTGGACACATGGAATAGAGGATGTTTTGGGGGTAGAAATAACCCTTCTGTGATCTCACCCAGGAATCCTGCTAGACACCAAGCTGTGTCTTTTAGAATCAGTAAATACTAGAAATATTGCTTTGGTTCTGGAGAACACATATAGGCCCTTCCAGCAGGATTCAGGGGGAGAAGACATTGTTTCTCTTGGGCAAGGATAAAAGCATTAAAAACATATGGAAGGGCAGGGGATTTAGCTCAATGGATTCACTGCCTGCTGTGCAAGTGCAAGGACCCGAGTTCGATCCTCAGTACCAAAAAAATATGGAAAATATCAGGATTCTAGTGTGAAAGTAAAGTTGTTGACTTATGGAAGGCAAGGTCCATGCCTGATATTTATTTATATTCCACATATTCTTTTTTTTATTAAATTCTTTTATTGGTACATTGTAGGTATACAACACAATTACATTTCTCAT